TAAGTAACACTTGCTTACTATATGCTTAGAAATACAATAGAAATTAATCCAATGCATTTAGAGATAGATACACATAAAAGCAGACACTTCTTTTTTCCAAGTGAACTCTCTTTGTAGACAATCAAGAGATCTGAAATAAACATTGATAATGAAAGGGCAAGCAAATGGCTTGGTATGATTTGATATGCACGTGAATACTTGAGGAAAAATTACGTTCTACTTGTCATGCACCTCTTAAAAGAGAACTTTAGAAGCCTTTACAGTATAAATGCAGTGGTGGTTAAGGTTTTATCTTTGAATAAAAAGGGAATGTATACATACGTATAATATATCTCTAGAAAATATCTATTCAAACTGAAAAATTCCATTTAAAGGACAAGGACTGGGTGAGTGAAAGCAGAGAATAGAGGCAAAACCATATTAATCCACAGGCTGAAAATTACAATACTAGTTCTAGTTAGTAGCTTTCAAGGTTATACATCAATATTGCATACACTGGAAATCCTCTTGGATTTTTATCATTGTGATTTGCCAACCAATAGCTGTCCTCACAAACCAAGAAAGCTTAAAAATTACTTAAAAATTGCTAAAAGGGTATATTTAGAATAGCTCTTTTGATCTTAAGAGTGGGCCACCATAAAGAGTTATATTTTATTCCCCTCACATTCTATAGGAAGTAGTGGGTACATTTTTCTTCATTTGCCAAAGCCTACTGATCCCTTCTTAACCAGACAATCCTTTAATCCTTCAGTTTTAACACACTCAGCTATAATCCAGTAAGAAACCAAGGCATAATGCATGTCTTTAAGAATTTCCAACACAGTATGTCACATTAATGTCAATTTAGCTGACTACCTGAATGGCTACAAAAGAATATATTTCATTACCTGTTTCCATATAATTTTCACATCAGACATTATGCGATTCATTTTCACCTTCTAAAGTAGCTAATTGCATGGCTGGCAGGTGAGTTTCCTTAGGTTTTGAGTACTATCAAAATTTTCAATAAAGCGTAGTCAAACACACTAAAATACTTGCATTGTTTTTAATTTACACCTTTCATTTACTTCAATGTAAAAAATCCAGAAAGATATAAATGTGGCATAGTCAGGAATGAGGTTTTTTTTTTAAATTGTGATCTTTATTTTCATTTAAAAAGCATGAAGAATTAGAACAATGTTATTAAGAGCCATAAAAAACTTTTAAGACAAATAGCATGTCTATTATTTTGATCATTCTTTCTTTTTCAGTACAGAAATCCCCTTGTCTTACAAATTTAACTAGAAAAGGTGAAATAGGTGGTGGGAAAATCTGTACCTCATATGCCTTTGAGTGATCTTCACTAATGATCAAGTAAAAGTTGATTTTAGCACAAAGATGAGGCTAGCAGAATGCAGCTCATAAGGGACCAGCTCAGTCCATGGGAAAAAAATCTTCTCAGCAAAGTAAAAGACAAGCAAGCTTTTATATTACTATATTTATGCAATGAATTGAACTTTTTTTATTCACAAGATGCTCATTGGACTACTAAACTACATCAGATTTTTATTTATATTTAAGGCAAGGTGCCATTAGTCAGAAGTATATTTTTTAATATATAGGCATTTCATTCTTAAATGGTGATGTTTTAAAATAAAGCTGACCTTATAAATGTCACACTTGACTATCTTTCTATCTCTCTAATAGTGTCCTTAAATAAAATGGCTGCAAATATGTATAGCTACATTAATATTGTTATGATAAAAAGCACTGTAAATGCAAAGTAGCTAATAGAGATGACCTTCCTACTACAAAGTTTATGTATGATTTTATAGTCAATTGTAATCAAATCTAGTTCAGTAATTTCATTGTCTGACTTATAAAGAGAAAGTGCAATTTTAATGGATTTTTATTTCCAAATGTTCCAAGTGTTGCATCTATTTCCCCGGTAGAACTGAAGAGAACAAAAGATTAGCAAATAAAAATGGTAATTCAAGATGCCACTCTTACTCTTTCACAATTATTTCTTGCTGCCTATTTTTTAGCTGATTTGATTTTCATTTTATCTTATACTTTTCATATTACTGTCATTATTTGTGTAACAGAAATGAAGGAGTCAACCTAACTATCATGATTAAGACAATTCAATACAATTATCCTATTAAAAGTTTTGGGTTAAACAATCACTGGTTGATGTAACTGGCCATTTAAATTTGTTTACCATTCATCAGGAAACATTTATAATAGCCAAAGAATGTAATTGTATAATCCTATCTTGCTTTATCTGTAAATAATATTGATGCATTTTCTAATCTCTCAACTTCTTAAGAGTTAAGGAAGTAGTCCAAAAGTCTAGTATATAGTCAACATCACATGAAAACACTTTATCATATTTTGCTGGATCTTTATGTATTTGTTACTCACATTATGTAGTATATAGGCTTATATCTAATGGTAGACAATTTTAATTCCAGTCATGCAACAGAATACTTTGTTTTCTCTCCTCCCTCTCTCCCTCCCTCTGTCTCTCATCTATCTATACACACATACAAACACCACATACATTATGTTCTAAAGTCTTCCAAGCTACTTGGAGACATGTGGAAAGGAAAGACTCCATGCCACTGTTGCAGGTAATTGAATATACCAATATCTCTGGATATAATATACTTTATAGACTGTGATGTTAAAAGGACATTGATATTTGATATGTGATAATATTGAAAACTAAAAAACAGAAGAAATTTTATTCAGATTTCAAAAAGTAAATAGTTAAAAAGAAAACAAAATGTTATTGTTGTTATTATTATTATTACTCTTATTATTACTTATAATATGAAAACCTTTCTCATGAAATGCAGAAATGTTAACCACTACTGTTTCTGCATAAATATCTATGTGTTAGAAAAAGTACTTTTAAATGTTTGTACTAATCAAAATCATGTCTAAAATGACCTACATTAAAGGAAACCACTTGGGCACTTTCTCTCTCTTGCAATTAATTAAAATTAATTTAAGACCAAAAAACCAAGAAACATAGTAAATATATATGTCAATCTCTGGACTACCTATTTATCCATGTGAATAACAGCACTCATGTTAATCATGTTCCAAATCCCACTGTCAATGAATTTTAATTTTGATATAATATCTGTTAATCTGCCACTAATACATCACTCAAGAGCAACCTTAAGCACAGTCATAAGATTGCAAAGTTACAAATAAGATACAGTTCAAAATACGGAATGAATTTTTGAACATGATAAAACATCACTTTCCATCCAGATTACTGTCCCATGGGCTGCAAGGTACAAAAGGTACAAAATGATAATCATTTGATAATCATTTCAGTTGGTAATCCATGTTACTAGTTGCTGGCATCTGTTAGGTTGTTATTACATGTATTCTTTGGATGCTACATTGATTGGTAATAAGCTTTTGACCCTGACCTCCCTACATGGCTTGATTCCAATATACTGTAACGATTAGAATAGAATAACAGAATTGAAAGGGAGCTTGGAGGTCTTCTAGTCCAACCCCCTGCTTAGACAGGAAACCCTATACTTTTTCAAACAAATGGTTCTCCAATCGCTTCTTAAAAACTTCCAATGTTGGACCATTTACAACTTCCAGAGGCAAGTTGTTCCACCGATTAATTGTTCTAACTGTCAGGACATTTCTCCTTAGTTCAAGGTTGCTTCTCTCCTTGATTAGTTTCCACCCATTGCTTCTTGTCCTGCTTTCAGGTGCTTTGGAGATTCTCTTTTTCTGATGGAATATGTCCTTTCTGTCTGTCTGCCTCTCTCTGTGTGTGTGTGTGTGTAGGGGAATTAAGACCCATGCCTTTGTGAACACCAAGAAGCATGGTCCCAGAGGCAGTCTTTCTCTGTGGTGTTTTGGAGTTCCACTTCACATTCTCCTATTAGTTTTCCACAAGTTAATTAAAACAGTTTTAAGTGGAACATTTAGGGTTTGGATGGCTAGCCAAGTATTTGAAGTACTATTATATACTATACAATTTTTTGTTACTATGGTTCTTGATCCTTAGTACTGCAGTGCTCATACCATCTGGAGTTGCCTAGCAAGGAGCTACAAGAGTGCTTTAATCCTGTGAAGAAAAGTTATTTAAGTACTGATCCTTAAAGTTCCCATATTCTTCTGCAATTAATCCAAAGTAAACTGACTGAATACCTATTTTCCTAAGTTTAAATTGCCAATACTTACTTCTGTTTTCCTCTGCTCCTTCCTCATCAATCCTAATACTAAACTACACATAGCTAAAATATCTATGTTAAAAACCTGCCAGTTTATGATTAAGTAAAGAGTCTTTCATATTAATTCATATCCATAAAACCAAGAAATGGGAATCTAGGTCAACGTCTCATCTGGTCTAGGGTCACTATGATGTTGTGAAATGTCCAAGCCAACACAATTTATGGCCTTTCATAACAACAGTATTGATAACACAGCACATGAGTTAAGACATCAGCAGCCTTCAATTCCATTTGGCTGGCTTTTTGGAGACTGCGATGATAACATTTATTTATAAACTTGCTAGTCTATAATCTTGTTCACTGAATGTCTCAGTTGTTAACATCATCATCACTGCCACCATCATACCATTGTCATCGTCGTCGTCGTCGTCTTCATCATCTCAACTCCTAATCCATCACTTTCATTTTTTTGTTTAATTGATATTTGTGCTGTTTTATGAGATGATCAAATACTCTGTACAGGACATTTTTCTGGTTTAATTCTCTCAACCTGTTATCTACCATCTGTATACTTGTCCACATTCTTTTTGCTCCTCTCCTTTCATATATTGAAATGGCTTGCTACACATAGTGGTGTAAAGTAACAATTTTGGTTTCATGTCTCATTGAGGACAAAATGTCAGAGTGAGAGTTTCTACTCCTTCATAATGTATTCCCAGCAAGAAATAAAATTATTGTGGCATGGTATTTCTGTTTTTAAAAAGATAATAGATAATCATCATTACCACCAGTTTTTCGGTCTCCTGCTTCAACTCCCTTTTCAGAAAAGCAGCATAGAACTCAACCTACATTTTTTCTTCTTTTTTCTATTTGTAGAAATAAAAGTGCAGCAATGTTTGAGCTGCCCGTCTGATTTCTACAAAGTAGAATGAGGCTCTGATTCTTTCACTTTTCCACTTGCACATTCCATAAAATATATGTTTGCAACCTTTACATGGCTAAAGGCTACACTTAACATTTTTGAAATGCTTGACTTCCGGTTTGAAGGGCTTCGGCAACAGATAGAAATCCGTGATCGTGCGTGGTTTCTGTCTGGGCTCGCTGCTGGAGCGCCCCGAGCTGGCTGGTTTCAGGGCTAAGCCACCCCATAGAGGTGGTGAAGAGGGGGGAGACCACCAGCAGGGTTGAGGAGAGCCACATCTCTCTTCCCTAGCTGGCTATTACTCCCTTTCCCGAAGGCGGTTGCAGCGGTGGTCAGAAATGGCCACCACAAAGGAGAACTCGACCGGAAAAGAATGTGCAGGAGGAAGATAAGAAGTGAAAGTTTTGGCTGACTAGGTTAAATTGTAAAAACAACTAAGATACCCTGGAATTTCAACTTACAAAAAATAACATCGCTCCCAAAGAAGAGTTGGAAGCAGCGAAGGAAAGTGAAAAGGGAAAGGTTTGGCTTTTTTTCTCTTCTCTCTTCTTCCCTATACTGACAACTAAGAGACTTAAATAAGAAATCGGAAAAATCTGCTTTGACATCAATAGGTAATTAAGCTGAAAATAAAACAAAATGCCAAAGGGATAATAAAGATTTCTGGACATTAAAATTTTTCTTTTTTATAAGCAGGAAGGGAGAGAAAAAGAATAAGGGCAGGATCTGGAAGAGGGAGGAGACTGCCTGGAATTAAAAAGAATTTACAGTAAAACTTCAACAAGACTTCTAAAAGATACATTTTAACTGAAACTTTGCAACTAAATAGTAACCCCAGGAAGAGAAAAAAAAAGAGCAAAAAAGAAACAGCTTGTGTGTATTTGGATTATTTGGTGATCTTTGGATTCTTGATTATTATATTTGAATGACTAAAATCAATCGGGTGGTTGTTTAAAAATTTATACAATGGCACCACTTCTGGATGAATTGAAAATGGAACTTAAAAAGTACAAAGAAGATGCACAAGAAGGGAAGGGTTCTTTTGGCTTCGTTTTTCAATTCTTAGAAATGGAGATTTGGAACTATGAGAAACAACAAGAAACGACTGCAAAACAAGAAGACTGGGACAAAGAAGAAGCCATCTTTAATGAACAAGCAATTTTATGTGGGGAAGAAAAAGGAAAGGGGGGAAAGAGAATGGAGAATTTAAGACTTAAAAAAAAACAACCAAAGAAAAGAAAAATAATTCAAAAAATAAGTATAATACTGGAAAGCAACAGAAAAGGGGATTACAGAAGAGATAAATAGAGGTAGAGACACAAGGCGGTAAAAAAGGGGAGAGGGAAGAAGGAAAGGAAAAGAAGTTACAAAGGACCAGAGCAAATTATAGAGAAACAGGACCTATTTAGAGATAATGGGTGAAAATCTAACTGAAAAAGGGATTCTGTAAAGGTACATAAGATTGTATTGTTATATTAGTAATAGAAATAACTTTAGAAAATTGGAAACAACGTATGATTAAAATGAGGGATAAAAGTTAGTGTAATTTAGTGAAATGTTTGTGAATAAAATAAGTGAAATAAAATAAATGAGAAAATTGAATTAGGAAGGAACGAGAACATTTTAATTAGTTAATGTTTTATAAAATATAAGTGAAGAGGGGAGGAATTAACTATGGAAAGCTTATAATTGTTCCCATAGAAGTATGATATTTAATTGAAAAGTAATGTTAAAGATGTTAAGACTTTAATGAATATTAATATTAATGATAAAATTGAATTGGAATGGAATATTGTTTTAATTATATACATTTATATATTTTTTTCTTTTTTTAAGAGTACAGTGTATATTTTAAGAATGTACCAAGCAGAATCCGAATGGAAGTTATGTATTATATTGAATGTTACAACTTTAGGGAAAAGATATAAAGGCGTCATACTCCAATCAGTAACTACAGGAGAAATTTTGTTTAATGAGAAAAGATAATAGATAATTGAAACAGACAGACAAAAAAATATAAATACAACGATTTGAATTGAGATGAGATTAAAATAAAATTGAGAAAATTAAAAGAGGGGAGAAGCTACGCAGAAAATGTAAAATAGTAATAAGATATGGAATAGAATATAAAAATGAGCATGAACCTGAATTTGTGTCTGTACAAAGAAATGTAACCCAGGATTATGCTACTTTCAAAAAAGATGTTTTATTTGTTTTTGTTTTTCTCTTTGTGAAAACTCAAATAAAATTTACAAAAAAAAACAACATTTTTGAAATGCTCCAAAACCTTATTAGTTGACGTAATGATGGAACTGCAAAATTGCAGAATCCCACTTTACATAGGGAATATGTTGAGATGTTCACTTTTTTCAAAAATACAGGAACGGATATTACTTTAGAATGTACAAAACACCTTTCATGTATTTTCTACCAAAACTGCATGAAGGAAGTAAATACGCCATTAATTTTGGTGATCATAATCAGAGTTGATTTCAAAGGCACAAAAAAGTTATGTGACCCTGGATGTGGTCTGGAGCTACTGATGTTACCTAACCATAAAATATCATGTTTACTAGGCACTTTCATTTTTTGAGAATTCACTTTCCCCTACTATATAAATAACCAATACATGCAGAATTATTGATTTATTTTATTTATTTAAAACATTTATCTAGCTGTCTCTCTTATATGTAACTCTAGGTGACTTCCAATTATCACTATTATCCCCCCTCCAAATATACTAATTCTTATATCACAATGGTCAGCCTGCTAATGTTTAATGGTCACCAATGTAATATTCCTGATAGTGCTAGTTAAAAGTTTACCACCCTTAAATAAAGTTTTGCCTTCGTCAGTTAAGCCTTAGTAAAATATATTGTTAGTTTTCACAGAAAAACAGGAAAACAATAATACATTTGTTTATTAAAAATTTGAATTAATACTATTGCTTAATCAATTTTGGCACTATTTAACTAGCTGTACTAATGGCAAGTCCTAATTCCTAATGCCACTATGTCTATGTGGCATGTTTTTAAGCCCGATCAACATAAAATCTTTATCATTTTTCAGATGAATAACCATTAGAATTCTGGGCTTCATAATGGCAGAAATTCTTTCGAGAGATGACTAAAGCCCCCTCCCCTCATATTTGTGAGTATATATGTTGATCACTATGTCCTTGTCCGCTTGCTCTGTCTAGACACTAAGCATTAGACAAACTATACATATTATCTGACTGAACAGCTTTAAACTGCAAGAAAAATACAGCTATTAACTTCATATGACCTGTGCAATAAACTAAATTCACTGCATAGATCTCTCAGCTCATATCTTTCCAAATACACTTTAAACTAATTCAAATTCATATAAAAGACCACACTTCTTAAAGTTTGTGCAATACTATTCAGCTCCATTAGCTGATGTGTTGCTTAGCAGGCATTTTAGCTAAGAATTTCTAGCCTCAAACAGCTTGATAAAATCTAAAATGAAGCTTGTAAAATCAATCAGTATATGTGCTAAGTTTTAGCTCTAAGTTTTAGAGTTTGGATTAGTTAGAGCTGTTTGCATACTTTACTAATGAGATCATATATTGAGGAAGTCCATCTATTAGAATCTAATCTGCCAAATTTTAATCAATGTAGGATTAAATCCCAATGATCAATAAACATGCATGCAAAGAGCCAGGGGTATAATTTAGAATACTCTAAACTATACATATTAAAATTTATGTTAGCAAAATGGCATACAATATGTTTAAGTATTAATTTATACATATAACATCTTCCTTTTTACCAAGATGGTTATCTCTGCAAGGTAGATCTGTATTTTTATACTTTCCTTCTACATCTTGTCCTGTCTTTCCTTGCAAATGTAATGTCCTATTTCCATATAAGTAGGAACCCAAGAATTGTCACATCTGGATGTACATTATAGAGAACATGAGGTAATGAGTAAAAGTGCCAATTTCATCATAGGAAAAACTAACCTGTAAAATTGCTACCTATGGCCAGATGTGAGTACGGTTAGGATTTTACTTATTTCCTAAGAAATCAGGCTCTTATGTCAACAACAAACTGATATAAGACAAAGTTAAGATCATAAAAAGGAAGTTTTAATCAAATACGCTTACATGCTGAATATTCATAGGAAAACAAGAAAAGCTAGGCAACCTTATGAACCAAATCTGATATGCTAAAAAGAAAAATGATGGAGTTTAGAGACTCCATTTAACAGAGACTGGATCTCAGTGTCTGTTAGAAGCATATTAAAAATGGCTATCTATAGTCACTATGTATCGTATTTGCCAAAGTCCAAACCACGAGGAAGAATATTTAATTTGGAAGAGATTTTAATTTAAGGAAATCAATTATAATAATATAATAAATAACAATTGTGCTTGTATAAATCAATGAAAGAATGGACGTAGTCACATTTTTCTCTTTTCCTTTGTTTAAGCAGATCATTGTTATACGACTAATTAGGGTGCTACTTCTGAATGTCATGACAGTTTATCACAATACAGTCATTATTTATAATTTAATAATGAGAAGAAATGGCAACTTGACTTACCCATATACAGTGGAATAAACTTACCCATATACAGTATTGAATAAAAAGTACTGTATTGGTTAAATATTTTTGTTATTTTATTTCTTTCTTCCTCACTAGAAAAGCCTGAAGAAATAAAACCTACTCTTGAACATCTAAAAAAAAAAAAAACTGATTAAGATCAGCTATGTAAGTCACTATGAGCTGAGCTGAGGTTCCTGAGATGGGAACCAGCAATTCCAAGCTCCTATGTAGATATATCTAGCCATCAACGGCCACCAAGCACCTACCAAATATCTATTAATTTGGATGGGCAGAAGCAATAAGCATACATTTTAATACATACACAAGCATATAGATACACTTCTAAATTATTTTTATTGCACTGAACAATCAAATGTTGTATGTAAGGTTTCATTCTTGTCTGTAGCAGTTAGCCGAGTCATGTCTTGAATTCATCTGCCAAATTAAACTAAGAAGTTGAACTACAGGTCAAATGTCTGGCAATTATGATTTGCTGTGCTTTCCAAGTATAAAGACTAACTTTAACAGACATGCCTCTTTGTTTATATGAAGGAATGTTTTGCTATTTTTGATTGAGCTGTATTAGGTACATAATTGTTACCAAGTTCAATTAAGATGCTGGTGCTTGCTTACCTCTTACACTCACAAAGACTTATAAAAATTAAGTATTAAATGATTGCCAAATCTAAAAGAAATAATCCTTCATTTTTCTAAAAGGGAATATCATCAAGCCTTACAAACAAATGCATACAATGCCAAAATTGAAAAGACAGAAACAGACAGCAAACACTGCCTTTGCAAAGAAGCCAAAGAGACATAGTGGTCCAACTAATTTGCTGCAAGATGGTTGCACAGATTGATGGCCAAGAATCGCATGACAATGTAGCAACAATGGTACATTGGGATATCTGCAAGAAATGCCATTTACCTGCAAGCAAGAACTGGCAGGATCACAAAATAGACAAAGTAATTGAAAATGAAGAAGCTAAAGGAGACAATCATAGACAATCACATAACAACCACACAATAATCCAGACTTAACAACTGTAGATAAGAAAGACATACAACTCTGGATAGTGGACACTGCAGCATCTGCAGACAGCAGAAGAGAAACAACTGGGAAAATCATAAAATACCAAAATGTGCAAATAAAAGTAGAATGAATGTGGCAAAAAATGCAGAGATAATACCAATAGTAATAGGCAAGCCCAAACCAACTGGAACACCACAGGAACATCATTGTGACTGACTGAATCACTATTAGCTTTACTTGGAACAACTTACATCCTGTGACAAAACCTTTAAAAGTATCAAGCAACATCTGCCTATCCCAGATAAACATGCCAAATCCAGTCTAAACATCTGGCTGTGACCAATTATAATAAAGGTAATAGAAAGAAGCGCCTGTATTCATAGACACTACTTAATAATTCAGGTCCTTGGTTAGGACCTGAATTATTGAGTTTCCACCAGTCTTAGACTGAATCTAATAGTAAATTACCCACAGTTAATAATCTGTCAATTACAAAAGGTCACACTGCATGGATCCACACATATGGTATTCTGATACATTATGACATCCTAGAATCTTGGGGAGAACTCAAAGTGTATGAAGACCAACACTAGCTAAAGAACTTGTAGGTGTGATTTCATATTGCTGTGTACATAATTCCATCTGAACATCTGGCTGTGTGATGAAACATAACAATAATGGATAGTTCCATCAACATTGGGAATCAATATTGACCATTTTGGTTAACTGGTTTTAAACCTTAAAAAATCTGATTTTTCTTGATGCAAAAATTAGCTCAGACCCTGTTTTCTTCCACATCTTTCTTTTTAGGATGTTCTACCTGCTCCCAAAACAGAAATGAGGAACAAAGCAATGAGCCATTGAAATGCTCCAAAGAAGATTCACTATGTTTCTGAATGGGATGGTACATGATGCTGCTTTGGAACTGAACATAATTCTCTCAGCTGCTCTGTTCCTAAGCCTGCTTTTTCTCAGTCCAGAAACAATTAAATTAAAAAGTAGAGGTGTCTGAAAAAAACAAAATAAAAATAAAAAGCCAAACATTGTCTTGTAAGAGAGGCAAATAAGTCAAAATTTAACCAAATACAATTCCAAATAAATGTACAAAGGTTTACATTTCTTTTTTTAAAAAAAATTTTTTTAAAACAAACATACAAAACATAAAAACATAAAACCATCTTCCATTTTATATACATACAGTGTGTCAGTTGGTTACATATCTTTTGTGCTATCCTTTTGAAGTCATTTACTCACAATTTATATCAGTCTTCACATTGTTGAACAAACATATGCTTATATATTTATCAGTTATTAATCATCCATGACAAAACTATTTATTCCATCATTTTATATAATATGTTCCAAGTTTTATCTTAACATTTGTGTTATACCAGTGGTTATATATATCTATATTATGTTTTATATCGGTCTATTAAATTTCCATCACAAAATTATCTAGTCTATTACATTACCATGCCTTTTTATTCAATAATTGGTAAAACAAATCTCATATCATATAAAATTGCTTGTCTTGTTTTCTAATTACAAATGTCAGTTTACTCATTTCAGCACAGTGCATAATTTTTTTAATAACTTCCTCTTGCATAGGTATTTTGTCATTTTTCCAGTTCTTCGCAAATACAATTCTACCTGCTGTTAAAACATTCACAATCAAATATTTTAGTTCTTTATTGTATATGTCCGGTATGACTCCCAATAAAAAGATATCTGGTTTAAAGTCTATATGTTGTTTTATCATTTTTTCCAACCATGTGTGGATTTTAGTCCAATATTTCTCTGCATCCAAACATGTCCACCACATATGGTAATATGAACCAGAAATCCGATGACATTTCCAGCATTTATCCGATTTATTCTTAAACATTCTCGCAAGTTTCATTGGGGATAAGTGCCACTTGTAAAACATCTTATACAAATTTTCTTTATATGCAGTTGACATTGTCATTTTATAATTTTGAGACCACAATT